GATCTAGTCTTTGGAAACTTTGCTATGTCCTGCCAGAATTAAAGCAGACCCTCCAAATGTCCCTATTTTCCAGGGACAGTCCCAGATTTACAGAAGCCGTCCCGGTTTCTGATCTGATCCTGGGATGTCCTACTTTTCTTTAGGATGTCCCTGTTTTCATTGGGGAAATGTTGGAAGGTAGGGAGTTATGTGACCCCCTGAGCCGAAGAGATACAACTCTAGTCTAGAAGATATCTGGAGGCAGCCTTGTATTGGGAAGTTTTCAATAAAATGTTTAATGCTTTATTATGTTTTTACATAGGTTGGAAGCCGCCCAGAGTGGCTGGGGAAACCCAGTCAAATGGGTGGGGTAATAATAATAATAATAATAATAATAATAATAATAATAATAATGGAATAAGACATTACTCTTTTCATTTGTTGGAGGGTATGTTAAAGAGGTTTCCTCATTCCAGGATGTGTATAGCATAGGCATCTATCTCTAGGAAGGAAAAGGGACAATCAGCAACCATAGGTAACACTTGACATGTGGTAATACAAAGTTGCTTTCCATTTTAAACGGAGAAAGGTCAAAACATGACATTGGGGTAGGAAATCTGTTGCTCTCCAGATTCTGTACTACAGCTCCTATCACCCTTGAACTTTGGCCATGCTGCCCAAGGCTGATGGGAGTTGTAGTCCAAAAACACCTGAAGGGCCACTGGCTCACCAGCCCTACATTTCATGTTTGTTGTGGCCCAACAGTAAAGCATAGATGTAAAGCCCATGTGTCCCTGTGTCATTAAATTTCCTTGCACATGGGTCTGGGAAACCCAGCCCAATCGGAGTATTCCTGCGGCAATCATAATGTATGGAGCTGTTCCGGAAATTATCCATGCACCAGCACTAAGCCTATAAAAGCCAGTGCTGTGCAAGAAGATATGTTCACTGTTGAGAGCATTGCTGGAGGATAGAAATGTGCTAGGTGAATTTAGGCTTGGATTAAGGAGATCCAGGTTCAAACTCTCCTACTCAACCAGGAATTTTAGTAGGTGAGCATAACCTCTAAGGCCAATCTACCTTTCACATCTTCTTGAGGATAGCACAGATTAATGCAAACGTACCCAACTACACTGTCCTGAAGCGTCTGGAGGAAGAATAAGTTTAAAAGAAATAGAGAGAGATGCCTGTTCAACACAGTAATTTGCAAACAAATAAAAAGATGCAAATAATATTGTGTGATATTTGAAAATATGGTACAGTGGTACCTCGGGTTAAGAACTTAATTCGTTCTGGAGGTCCGTTCTTAACCTGAAACTGTTCTCAACTTGAAGCACCACTTTAGCTAATGGGGCCTCCTCCTGCTGGAGGAGGCCCCATTTCTGGGTTAGCGGAGTCTGTAACCTGAAGCATATGTAACCAGAAGCGTATGTAACCCGAGGTACCACTGTACTAAGAGTTAATCAATGAAAATGCCAAATTTTTGGAAATATTATAGAGGTTCCCAAACTTGCACCATTTTGAGCCATCCACCAAGATAAAGATAAAAAAATCACTTTGAAAGATACTCCCTTTGAGCTTCATTAAAAGAAAAAACCTTGTGCAGCAAACAAGAGAACACAGTAATGCTGAAATCATCCCTTTGCAAAGAACAGCTTTTCCAGAAGGCACCAGGGACCTCCCCAATACCGTTCCTGTTCATCATACATAAAGTACCAGCCAAAACCTTATTGCTTAAAGCCAAAGAAAGCCTGGGGGATGAGAAAGTTAGCCAAATATCTTTCTCGCTGACATTGAAACCAAGCTGAGGTCAGCTTTGCTGACACGTTTCTTGGTCAGAATTGCAGCTATGAAGGTTGACAGGGTGGACTTCCTCTGTTTTGTGGGTGAGAGTTAAGATGGAGATGGCTCGGCAAGGCAAATGTTGTTCTTGAGGCTTCGAGCCGAATTGCTTCAGAGGTCAACGAAAGACATGTGAGCTACTCTCCGAAATCCCAAGAATGCCCCAGTGCTTTGCGCATAAGATCAACCAGGTGATCTGGGAAAGACCACGGCTATTCAAGATAAGTCAGAGGTTAAAAATGGACATGTTTTATCCCCCATAAATAAAATGTGGTTTGATCGGGTGCCCTGTGGAGTTGCGTACCACTTTGGAGAAGGACCTGCTTCAACTTTCTTATGAACTTGTGCTTGTCATGAACTTCTGATTTATAATGACTAGAAATGGCGTGCCAAACACGTCGTGTGCTCCAGCTTGTCATGTGGATTCCAGAAATCTGCTGTGCATGCAGCATCTCGGAGCAAGCGGGTTGTCAACTTGGCACAAAACAAACCCTTGTAAATAGGGGAGAGATTCTGTGACACGCAGGCCCTAATTTAAGATGGAGGCCTTAGCCACCCGACACGGTTTGCCTCACATAGCAACCACGCTCGGTAACGGAACTTAGCAGGCAGCGTTCAGAACGAGTCAGAGTTATAGAAACAAGGGAGGCACAGGCAAACGAGCTTAACCTGAAATGGTGTAAACCAAAGTTGGTGCTACTAAAGGAGAGCAATGAAATTGTAACCATACATTTAAAGCGCATAACTTGCCCCCAAGGAATCCTGGGTATTGTGGTTTGTTGAAGGTGCTTGGGATTGTAGCTCTGTGAGGGGCAAATTACAGTTCCCAGGGTTGTATAAATGTGCTTTAAATGTATGGTTTGTTTTAAGAAAGAAGTTAAGACAAATTGGGGGGAGGGGACGACTTCCACTTATTCAGATACTGTACAGTGGTACCTCGCTTCAGGTTACATACGCTTCAGGTTACAGACTCTGTTAACTCAGAAATAGTACCTCAGGTTAAGAACTTTGCTTCAGGATGAGAACAGAAATCGCGCTGTGGCGGCGCGATGGCAGCGGGAGGCCCCATTAGCTAAAGTGGTGCTTCAGGTTAAGAACAGTTTCAGGTTAAGTACGGACCTCCAGAACGAATTAAGTACTTAACCCGAGGTACCACTGTATAAGTTAAGTAGATATAAGGTCTGGGCTACCCCAAGACATTTTGCCCCCCAGGCATCTGATGCCTGAGGCAACTGCCTCATTCTGCCACAAAATAGCTACCAATATGGGGCTGTTGTTCTTGGAAGTGTCGGGATGCAACACAGCTTGCACTGAAGGCTGATGTGTCTGCATCGAGTAGATCAAGAACCTCCTTGTTTCTTTGCCTGGCCTGCCTGGCTTAACCTTTGACCTTCCATCCGGCACTAGACTGATACCTTTAGAGTTGTTGACCTAATTTACCGCTTCCTTCGTCTCCACACCTCCCTCATGAGTGGAGACATCTATTTTGAACCTCATACCTTCCAACATTTCTCCAATTAAAATAAGGACATCCTATTCCACAACAACAACAACAACAACAACAACAATTTTATTATTTATACCCCGCCTTTCTGATTGGGTTGTCCAAGCCACTCTGGGCAGCTTCCAACATATATAAAAGCAAGGAAAATAGGGGGAAAACTTCCCTATACAGTACAGGGCTGCCTTCAGAGATGTCTTCTAAAGTTGTATAGTTACTTATCTCCTTAGCTTGGGAGTCACATACCCTCCAACATTTCTCTGATGAAAATAGGGGCGCCCTAAGGAAAAGCAGGATATTCTAGGATCAAATCTAAAACCGGGATGGCATCTGTAAATATGGGACTGTCCCTGGAAAATAGGAACACTTGGAGGGTCTGGAATCTCCCTCCATTCCAAGCATAGCTTGTTGCATGTCTTCTTTAGTTAGTTAGAACTAGAATTTTCCCTAGCAGATTTGTATTTCCTGCAACGAAATGCAGTGATTACATTCAGGGTAATGTGCGCTCTTGCAGCAGGAATTTGGTGTTCAGCTGAGCTTTTGTCAGCCAAAGGCCAACAGTGGCTGGGAGAAATTTTCAATAAAAGAGAGGGGAAGAGACAGAGCTACCAGGAATCAGTTGTTAGGTTGCAGGTGTGAAGAAGTCTTGTGCCAACAGGGAGTGTGCATGATACCTGTGTTGGGTGCAAATAATGTAAATGACAGTGTGAGACACAGACAAGATATTACAAACATATATTCAACAATATGAAGAGTGGATAGAACAAAAACTAATGCCATAGAGGCTCATGTGCCTGCAATTTTATGCTCTATCTCTGGAAGGAAGACTCATTGAGCTGAATGGGACTTACTTTTGGGTAGAGATGTGTAGAATCGCATTGCAAATATGTCTTTGTGTGTGTGTGTATGTGTCCGAGGTGGGGTGTATCTTACTAAGTCCAAGGTGAAACTGACAGTGCTTTAAGTGAAGGATTTAGGCTTCCGAATTCATTACATGGAAAAGGCAAATCCATGGGAACTATGAGTAAAACTTCTCTGAGTAAAACTTAGTTGAATACCATCCCATGCCTTCTGCTGCATTATAGCCTGAAGACAAGTTGATTTGAATCATAGAATCATAGAGTTGGAAGAGACCACAAGGGCCATCGAGTCCAACCCCCTGCCAAGCTAACCAAGGAATCACTACCCCTACGCATAACACACTCTTGAATTCTTAGCCTGGAAACTCTCTATTTCCTATTATAAATAGCAATAATCTCTTGCACCTACTATGAGTAACTGCATAGCTATGGGGGACATCATGCTTCTAGGTTCAACAGTTAAATGTTAAAGGTTTTGTATTTTGGGATCATGAGGTATTGAATTCAAGTAAGAACAATAATGGTAGCATCTCTGCATCAGGCCAGCTTAGCATGCAGAGAGGAACAAATTTCCACTGTACATGGAGTGAGGCAACACGGGGAAATGCTTATGGGATAGGCATTCTGTGTTGCAAGTGCGTGGAAGTGCCCGAGACTTTGCTGCTTGCCTCACAGAGGCAGAGGCTCAGAGAGGTTTGTTTACTGGCATTTACTCTGATTAGCTCAATGAGAGGACAAGAGGGAACAGCCATAAAATGTCACACGCTGCCAACCACTCCTGCGTCTCCCCACTTCAAGGTATCAGCGAATTGTAGCAGCTGCTGCAGCAGACACACCAGTGACTGCATCGTGTCACCTAATACCGTTGCAGGAATGAAGTGCCCTTAAATAGGGGGCTGACAAATTTATAGCCAAAGAAGAATCTCTCTCGCAGCACACAGCATAAAGGTACATCTGTCATCCGGCCTAATGAAACAAAAATGCAGTTCTGGCTCACTTCTGCGGTGTAAAGGCAGTGAATAAGATCAAGTTTGCACTGCTCATTTTCCTTGGCATGCCTCCTTATAACATGCTCACTGAGAAATTGTATCATGTCTTCTTCTCCTTCCCATGTTTGTGTTTCACAAGTACCTGCTCTTTTCCTCTTTTTTTGGCCAGAACCACCTCCACCTTTAGGCAGGTAATGCTTTATTTTATCCTTGCAAATATGTAGGTGAGGATCATGAATGCTGATCTGTTGAAAGAACATCTTGCTGAGAGTTACCAAATTCTGGAACGCAGAACAAAGATCTCCCTGGACTAAATAAGAACAAAACAGCATGCATGTAAGTATGTATGTATGAAACAGAGGAAATCATTTGGGACAATAGAATAAGGTGTGGTTATTTACGATATTGGCGCGACTCCCGCTAATTGATTTATTGGCCCTCAATTAGCTATTTATGGCAGCCCGGTCCGGCGCGCTTCCCTCAGCTGCGCCATTCAGCTCCGTCGTCCGACAGTAGCAGAGATAAACACAGCGGTGATGAAACTGTCACGTCCTTTGCCTTAGCTTCCAGACAAACACACACAGAGTCCAGGCTTGTCCTTTTCAGCTCTTTATTCCGACATTCCCCCAGGGATTCCCCCTGGGCTCCTTGCAGCCATTACCGGCTACGTCTTTTCTCCCTCACCGACCAGAGGGGAACAGAACAGAAACTCCTCCCAGGCTCCTCCCAGCTTCCAAAGCTGACGTCAGAATGTTGAGGCATCCTGGGAACTTCTTAACCAGTTAAGTTCCAACTCCCAACACCCCCTCTTGCATCACATTCTGACAAGACCTTCTGAGTTCAACACCTTCCCCTTTGCCTTGTGCCCCTTCCCGGCATCTTTCCCAGGCACCTGTTGAACCCCTTCAGCATTCCCAGAATCACACTGTGCGACACTTTTCCACGCACCTGTGACCTGATACCCTACTGACCCATTAGGGCCAGCAGTTGTGTCTTCTCCGTCAGATTCTTCCCCCTCTGACTTGACAACCCTTCCGTGAGCTTTCTCCATTACCGGAGATGAAGCCTCACACCTGGACACTCCTTTCACAACCCTTGGAGATGCCCAAACCTGCCCTGAACCCTGACCCTGGACTTGGTCCCCATCACCGGGTTCTGAACCCTGATTCTGGACCTGATCCCCGTCACCGGGCTCAGCAACAGCCTCCCTTCTCCCTTGAGAGGACTTTGCACCCCGTCACCTGGTGACGTATTCCCTTTTCCTTGAAAAACTTCCTCCAGAGCAGACCCAGTAAACTGTGACCCTCGGTCGCTCTTGAACCCTTGCACCTTGGTGGAGAACTTTAGTTCTACCCCCGCAACCCAATCCTTGATCAGTTGCGCCACCTCCCCCTGTGATTTGAGAGAGAAACACCAGCCAACCTGGCTGTGGTCACCTGTCAGCGATGGCACATACCTGGCCCCACCCAGACTCTCAGACCTCTTGGGTCCTGACAGATCTGTGTGAACAAGCTCAAAAGCTTCCTTGGCTACCCTCCCAAACCCGGGAAAACCAAGTACCTTTGCATCTTTGCATGCCCTGCACCCTTGGGACCTCCCACATTTCCGGAGCTTGTACCCTTTTGTGCACCTGTGCAACTTTTGCACATCACTGGGAACCTTAGCACACTGCACCTGTGCTTTTTCCAGCATTCCCACCACCCTCCAGAGGTGACTCCAGAACAAAGAAATTATTCTTGCTCTTCGCCATGTTGACTCGTTGTCGCCCCCCTCTGAAAATGGAACAGGTGTCATTTTCAAAGCACATTTTTGAACCCCTGCTTCGTTAGAGCAGATACAGATAACCGACAACTATTCAGTCCCGGCACAACGTAGACCTCTTGCTCCTCCTGTAAAGGAGAGAAAAACACGTTAGCCACACCACAATTGTTCCTGTTGAAAACAGCCCTGCAGTTCCGCAGCTTGCCTATCAGGTGCTGCCTGATAGCAGAAACCAAAACACCCAGCGTGTCACCGTGTCCTGGCTGGTGTTGTTCTTCACAGTTGCCATAGAAGCAACAAACGTCCCGCTGCCCCCTCTGTCCTTGGCAGCGTCCGAAAACCGCAACATCCTGCGTTGCTCTGAAGACTGGACTTATCTCAGAGTTCCCAGACAACTCTGCAGCACGTGTCTCCCGCTGCAGCAGATGGCTGGCCTTGAAGCCTGTAGCAATGACGAACTCCAGTGGAAAAACACTGCTCCGGGGCTCCTCCCAGCTGGCCTGGCCCTCCTTCTTCCGGAAAAACACTCCTTGCCAGCTCCGCCCCTCTGCACCTCCACTTCATTCCAGCACGTACAGTGGAAAACTTTAAACGTGCCTTTGGAAACCTTCGCCCCCCCCCCGACCTGCTCAGCAGCACTCCTTGTGGCTAAAGCATCAGGGACAGGGGCTCCAGCCATCTTTAGGCTTTTGTATTCCTTCTCCAGGGCTCTGGCCTCCTGCTGAAGCTTCACAGCAAACGCAGCACATTTCCAAGCAGCCCTTAGTCCCTTTGCCCCCCTCTGGGGCCCACAGCCCTTCCCAGCTGTGCACCGGCTCTCACGTAGGTGATCAGCGCCATCTTGTCTTTCTGTTCTGAAGCAGCCATCTCCCGGCCCTTGCTTTCCGCCTCCAGCCTCACAAACACCCTGGAGCGCTGAACGGCCTCTGGCTTCCTGGCACCCAGAACAGTAGACTTCAGATCAGCAGCCAGGTTGCCCAACTTCTTAAAGTGAGCCTCCCACAGTCCTCCAAGACCTGGCAGCCTGCCATCCTCTTCCGTTCTCCCAAGGGGCCCCAAGCTGTACTCACAAAATCAGTTTCAGCTCCTCTGGCACTCCCTTCCGTGGAGAAACGATTTTCCAGCTGCTCTCTTAGCTCCCAGCTCCGCAGCTCTCCTTGCCTCTTAACACCAGGCAAAAAAAACAACCACCATCTCCTGCCGAACTTCAAACGCATTCCGGCAGCCTCTTGTGACAGTTTTACAAGCGGTGATTAGTACCCATAACCTGTGGTTATTTACGATATTGGCGCGACTCCCGCTAATTGATTTATTGGCCCTCAATTAGCTATTTATGGCAGCCCGGTCCGGCGCGCTTCCCTCAGCTGCGCCATTCAGCTCCGTCGTCCGACAGTAGCAGAGATAAACACAGCGGTGATGAAACTGTCACGTCCTTTGCCTTAGCTTCCAGACAAACACACACAGAGTCCAGGCTTGTCCTTTTCAGCTCTTTATTCCGACATTCCCCCAGGGATTCCCCCTGGGCTCCTTGCAGCCATTACCGGCTACGTCTTTTCTCCCTCACCGACCAGAGGGGAACAGAACAGAAACTCCTCCCAGGCTCCTCCCAGCTTCCAAAAGCTGACGTCAGAATGTTGAGGCATCCTGGGAACTTCTTAACCAGTTAAGTTCCAACTCCCAACATAAGGCATCCTAGCTACAGCTCTAGATGTAGATCTAGATGCAGAACACTTTGATATGAAATAGACCAGTTGGTTATTTTGTTCCAGGCAACATCCTCAGTAGTGTGAGAGTTCCAGTCCAAACAGTGGGGTCGAGACAACAGTTTGGGTTCCAGCAGAGCAAGGGGAGTAAAGAATTGATATTTCAGAGAGCACCCTGGACAGCTCCATGTGGAGTTCACAAGTTGCCCTCCATATATATGTTGCTTCAGCATCAAACAATCTCAGATTGAATCTTGCTTTAAAAGATTTATAAACCACTCACATTGTGATATATCAAAGGGGTATACAGAAAACCCCAAAAGCCACACAGTTAAAATAGCAGTACAATGCTGTGAGATGAGGAGTGGGCAATAGTTTTAAAATTCATTCAGAAATTTAGCTCAAATGGTAATGAATCCTATGCCACTTTGCCACTAATGGTGGACATAAGGCCAATAGCAGGAAGTCCTCAGACTTGGAATGTAATGGCCAGGCAGGGGTGTAAGGAGCTGTCTCGCAAGTGTCCTGGTCCTAATTTATGCAGAGCTTTGAAACAAGTAACAACACCTTGAACCTGTCCTGGTAACATACAGAAAGTCATTGCAACTGCTTCAACAGAGGTTTAATGTGTTGACAACAGTTAGCTACAGAACAACAGCCTTGCAGCAGCATGCCGCACAAGCTGCAGTTTCTGGATCACACTCAAGGGCAGCCCCACATAGTGGTTACCAACGTATGGATCACTGGGGCCAGATTATCCAGGAATGGCTATAGCGAGCATATCAACCGAAGGTCATTGAAGGCACTCATAGCCACTGAAGTGAGAAGGATGAATCAATTAAGGTCCCCAGATTACAAACCTGCTTCTTCAAAGGGAGTCCGACTCTGCCCGGAATAGGCAAATGGCCAGTTTCCCGGACTCAGAAACCACCCACCCACAGGGACACTGTCTTACCAGGCTCAGTTTCAGATCACTGGCCCTCATCCAGCCCACCACTGCATCCAGTTACCGTCTCATGACTTGCACGTCCAGTCCTGATTCGGATGAGAAATAGAGCCGAGTTTCAACAGCATACTGAAGACCTCGTGCTCTAAATCTCTTAGGACTACTATCGGTGACTTCGTGAAATGTTAAGTAGTACAGGGGGGAAATAGTACCCTTTGACACCCCACGGCGTAAGTGCCAGGGGCTGGCACATAACTACGAAGTGGTTCTCTCTGGAATCGACCCTGCAGGTAAGAGCAGAACCACTGAGGAACCCCAATCCCAACAGAGAAGGTCTAGGAAGGTGCCATAGTCAATGGTATTAAATGCCATTGGTAGATCAAGCTAGAGTAAGAGATCCATGGGAAACTTCAGAAGCCAAGTTACGGACTGGTTACAATATTATTGTGCTGGTCCTGGGGGGCAAGGTTACCGTTGACGTAGTCGAAGTCCGGTCCTGGGTCACTAGCCTGGAAACAGTTCGCAAGGAGTGGGGCGAGGTCCGAAGCAGGAAGCCGAGCGGGGACAGGAACACTGGAGGGTCAGGTCTGGGTCCGGACAGGAGCAGGTACTCAACGACAACATTGCTCCTGCAACCTGGGACCGGGCTGACTAGCCTTTATCTTCTCTGAGGCCAGGGGCAGTCCCGGCCCCCAGGAGACCCGTCTCTCCTGGCCTTAAGGCGAGCACTCCTCCTGGGAGAAACCAGTTCCCTTCGCCTCTCTGCCCTGAGCCTCTGCAGTTCAGGAGAGGCTGAAGGGTTACTGGGCCCCGGGGGAGACTCACCTGTAGGCACTGAGTCCTCAACTACCTCTGGAGCCAGAATGGATTCACCTGGTGCCTGCTCCTGAGGATCCGGCACAGGTGCAGGTGCCTCAGAATCAAGGCCCTGCCCCAGTTCAGCCGGCCCTGGAGGTGGGGACTCCTGTGCAGGCTGGGATTCCTCCGGTTCATCCTCTGAATCGGATTCCCAGGCCATCATAATCATCAGGTATATGACATGTTCAAATTAGACCAAATTTTTTTTGGGGGGGGGTTGACCAAAGCTCACAATTTGAAAATGAACTATTACAAAATAAGGATAAACTTTTGTCTAGAATGTATAACCTTTCATTAGAATGGGAAACAAAAGACGAGCTAGATAAAGCTTCAATGACACACAGGGCAATGGATATAGGACACAATATAGACCTAAACCTCTGGGAGAAACTGATTTGAAATTTACTTCATGTTACGCGCTGAAAGAGAACTATTTGAAAATGATTCACAGATGGTATCTAACTCTGAGTAGGTTGGCTAAGATGTACAAAGTACAATCCGATACATGTTGGAAATGCAAAGAAAAGGAGGGGACCTTTTTCCATATGTGGCGGACATGTAAAAAGGTAAAAGAATATTGGGAAATGATGTATAATGAGTTGAAAAAAAGGTTTAAAGACCAGAGTCCTTTTTGTTGGGAATAATCCAGACAGAAATTCCTAGGTGAGGACAACTTGTCGAATGCAGTTCTTCAAGGACCCTGTTCATGTTATTAGGCTGCAGTAACTGAAATACATCATCTAGTAACTGAAATTCCATACATCCAGTAGTGATGTATGGAAGCGAGAGCTGGACCATAAAGAAGGCTGATTGCCGAAGAATTGATGCTTCTAAATAATGGTGCTGGAGGAGACTCCTGAGAGTCCCATGGACTGAAAGAAGATCAAACCTATCCATTTAAGGAAATCAGCCCTGAGTGCTCACTGAAAGGGCAGATCCTGAAGCTGAGGCTCCAATACTTTGGCCACCTCATGAAAACAGAAGACTCCCTGGAAAAGACCCTGATGTTGGGAAAGATGGAGGGCACAAGGAGAAGGGGACGACAGAGGACGAGATGGTTGGAGAGTGTTCTTGAAGCTACCAGCATGAGTTTGACCAAACTGCGGGAGGCAGTGGAAGACAGGAGTGCCTGGCGTGCTCTGGTCCATGGGGCCTTGAAGAGTCGGACATGACTAAACGACTAAACAACAACAACAACAACAAACTGAAAATGATCCCCTAATCTTTATTCGGACAGTGCCTTGACAGATTCTGCAACAACAACAGAATGGATATCAGTACAGAGGCAAACAACTAGACCCCCGAAGTTTCTCATAAACAATTCACGATGGTAATGGTAGGTAAATAGGTAATGCTCCGGCGGGAAGGTAAACAGCATTTCCGTGCGCTGCTCTGGTTCGCCAGAAGCGGCTTGGTCATGCTGGCCACATGACCCGGAAGCTGTACGCTGGCTCCCTCGGCCAATAAAGCGAGATGAGCACCGCAACCCCAGAGTCGGTCACAACTGGACCTAATGGTCAGGGGTCCCTTTACCTTTACCTTTACCAGAGAGGGGAACTCAGGAATGATGGCATCATATATTGTATACAACACTAAAGTCTCACATCGAATGTAACTGATCTGTAGAAAAGACTCTATGACCCGGAAAAAAGAGACAATGCATGTACTTTTGGAAACAAAGAAAATCTATAATAAAAATTCTTATTTTTTAAAAAATGTGTGAGTGCATCAATGGCCAAAGATTCTTCTTTTTTTCTTTTTAAATTGGCAGCAGTGTGTTTCCAAAAGATAACAGAAAATATTACCAGGAGCTGTGCAATAGCTGCCAGAAAGTTAATGTAGATCTCACTGAATAATGTTATTATTTCCTAAAGAGGCACATGTTTTTCATGCAGAGCTGCCTTTGGCACATCAAGCCTATCAGAGAAATCTATATCTTTAAGCAGGCTATTATGATACTTGCCATACCACATTAGAAACCAGTCAAATACTCCTTGCTATTTATTGATTTATTTCAGGTGGTAAATATCTACCCCTCTCCGCACACCTTGCTTAAGAGATGCACAATGCACTTGGTAAATGAGGGCTCTTCCCTTGGTGTGTTGTGATGGTTATAAAATCATACTATAATATCTTTCCCAGAGAGCAGAGGGCGGGGGAATGAAGAATTGGACACAACTCCTTCAGATCTCACCTTTAGTGTGCATGTCTTCGGGTGTGATTCTTTTTTCTCAACAAGACTAACTTTAGTCTTTATTTCACTTTACTCTTTAGAAAGAACCAGAAGAAGAAGAAGAAGTGGTGGCCGGATGATTCTACTGCCTTCATCTCTGTTTCCCCCCTCTATTTGTATTCCTTAAGACGAGAATGCGTATTATTCTATGACTACATCCTGGAACCTCTTTGGGAATTTTATAATGATCTGAACTAAATATAACTGGAGGCAGTCTACACACATCTGTGATCAAAATAGATGGTGTGCATTCTGCTTAAGGTTTCTAGGGGCTGCGCTGAAAGGTGATGCAATACAAGGAGGAGAAAGAGATTTGCTAAGGTTCCTATTCCATCCTTCTACAAGAGGTCTAAAACTTAGGACTGTCAGATTGCTGATGGGCAGATGCTCAATAATAACTAAAGCTAAAGAAGATGCAAGATCACTGTTCCTTGCTTTCCCCCTCGGAGCTTTATATGTATAGTGCCATGCTGAGGCAAACACAATATAGGACGTTTGTATACAAAGCTTGCACTGGATTGTACAGCGAATGTAAATTTCAGGCTACATGTGCCATAGTTTCTGATGGCAGAAACTTATGGGAACTGTAGGCCACATCATCTGGAATCTATCAGTTTGGGTACCCAATGCAGGCTTTGAAAAATGCAAGGGCGCTCCCCTTCAGCATAGACGCTCACACGTTCTAAAATGTGATAAAGAAACAAACAGGATCTTCTTGCGGCAAGACTGCTCCCACTGTTTCAAGGTTCCTAGTTCCATCTATTAGACTAAGGTGTGTGTATGTGTGTGTCTTTCAGTGTGCATGTGAGGGTTTCAGTATGGATCAAGGTGTGTTGCTGCAGTGTGGGGAGGGGTTGCAGGGCAGGATGGGGTTGGTAGTGGGGGTTTAATGGAGTGTGCATGGGGTTTCAGTGTGGGTCAGTGTCTGCGCGTTTGGATCAGTAGAAGATGCAGTGTTGTGAAAGGGCTGTTTGTGTGGGGCAGGTTGTGTGGGTGTTTCACTTTGGGGTGTGGTTTCAGTTTTGGGCAGGGTGTGTGTGGAGGTTCGGTGTGGAGCAAGGTGTGAGTGGGTGTGTTTGTCACTGTGGGGTTAGTTGTGAGTGGGCTCCCGTAGACTTCAGTGGGGCAAGAGAACCTTAATAACTTTTGAACCACTGCTCAGAGCTTTGGATAGGGTTAAGAATTCAATACACTTTGCATTTAAAGGAAAAAATATCAAATGTGCATTTTCTGAAACAATACAGCCATCCTTCCCTATTTGAACTTATTCAATTTTTGCAAAGCAATCCTCCAAGCAATTTTTTTAAAATGTCTACGTTAGAGGGAGATGCATATAAAAATGAATAAGGTTAGTGAAAATAACGTACACAAATGCATTATATTAGGATAAATTGCTTGTAAAAATGTGTACGATAACCCAAACTGCATACAAAAGTGTGTTCGTTGGGATAAAATTGTGCTAAAATGCTCAATAATTTTCATTTTAAAGATAGCAAATTGCAGTAGAAACGTGGAGAGCTGAATTCAAGGTTGACAAGAAGAGGAGAAACTGAGATAATTGAGAAGTCCTTCCATCCCTTACTCAAAACTTCATCAGAGCAATGAAAGATTGCCTTATAACAGCAGTAATTTTATTGGCTACTCATCTTAACTAGATGGAGGCATTCCTCTGCCCTTTTGATTCCAAAACAACTTCTTTGTTGAATATGAAGAAAGCAGTTCCTGACTAGTTCAGACCTTTTACCCTGTGTTATGTTTTCCTAATAATTATTTTTAACTTGGCAAGCGGTCTCTCTTTGATACTTCTCTGCCCTGGCTAATTTAGAAAGGAATGTCTAGAAGATACACATAGCAGCCAAGTCGATCTCTTGGATGAGCTTATCACAGGGCTTGTGGATTTTGACTTTTGGTCTTAACAAATTCCACTAGTATGAAGTCAGTTGACATGAAGATCTTTGGCACATTTATTTCCCAGCAGGCATTAAACCATGATGCAAGCAGATTTCCAACTGGTGAACACAGCCCAAAATAGCAGCCAGGTCAGCAGGCCTATTGACTTTTAAATGTTGACAAAGGAAACTTCCTGAAGTGTCTGCTCAGAAACTGTGCATTCAATAGTACCTGCACTGACTCCCTTGCATGTGCTGTTTGCAGGTCTTAGATCTATAAATGGCAAACACAGAAATCTTTGCTATCACTGCAAATAATTGTTTATCTCCTAAACCCATAAAATTATAAAGGTTGCTGGTGTGGAATTAGTTTTTTTAAAAAAACCTAGATATTTTTTGGCACACCATCAGAAAGCAGTTCTTAGATGGACAATAAAATCCACCCTTCATTTTGAGAGTAATAAAGGTAAAGGGACCCCTGACCATTAGGTCTAGTCGTGGACCGACTCTGGGGTTGCGGCACTCATCTCGCTTTATTGGCCGAGGGAGCCGGTGTACAGCTTCCAGGTCATGTGGCCAGCATGACTAAGCCGCTTCTGGCGAACCAGAGCAGCACACGGAAATGCCGTTTACCTTCCCGCCGGAGTGGTACCTATTTATCTACTTGCACTTTGACGTGCTTTCAAACTGCTAGGTTGGCAGGAGCAGGGACCGAGCAACGGGAGCTCACCGCCGGATTCGAACCACTGACCTTCTGATCGGCAAGTCCTAGGCTCTGTGGTTTAACCCACAGCACCACCCACGTCCCTTTGAGAGTAATATGCTCCCTTATAAGCACAGGGTGGCGAATAGGAAGCAAATTTAGGGATTATCCACACTTTTGTCTTGTTCTGGTTTCCTGCCCTCCCAAACCCCCAATTTCCCCAGTTTCCCCAATTCCCATTTGCTCTGATCTATCGCTAAATAGAACTACAGTTCTGGGTCTACTCTATGGAGGGGCAATGTGCTCTAAATGTCCAGCGCGCATGCAGCCTTAAATATTATTCCTGGTGGGAAGGGAGGGGAGAGGAGGGAGAATCTGAATTTACACTCTCACAATCTGCACCCGATTTCTCAGCCCTTGGTAGTTGCTTTCAAAGCTTTCATTTATTAAACGGCTCTGGTGGTTTGCAATCCCAACAGAGTGCATTCACAGATGTCCTCTTGCAAACAGTGCACTTTATTCCACTTTCCCCCATAAAGTCCCTCTCCCAACAGCTAGTTACAAAGACAGCACACACAACGGTATGTTCAAAGCCCTTCTCTGCCCAAGAATCCTGGGAACTGTAGTTTGATGTTTGACTATGTTTTTATACAGTGGTACCTCGGTTTACGAACTCAATCCTTTCCGGAAGTCCGTTCTTAAACCGAAACCATTCTTAAACCAAGGCGCGCTTTCCCTAATGAGGCCTCCCACTGCCGGTGCCCTTTCACTGTTTGGTTTCCATTCGTAAACTGAGGCAAAGTTCGCAAACCAGGACACTACTTCTGGTTTTTCGGCGTTCGTAAACTGAATAGTTCATTAACAGGGTTGTTCTTAAAACAAGGTACCACTGTATACACTGTAAGTGGCTGGGGAAACCCAGCCAGATGGACAGGAACAACAACAACAACAACAACAACGGGGCTTTTATTGGGGGTTTGTTGCTCTTATTGATATTAATTCTTTGTGTCTTTGTTTTGGCTCTTGTTATGATTAGAAAGCACTGCTAACAACAAGGTCAGTGGAAGTGATGATATTCCAGCTGAACTATTTAAAATTTTAAAAGATGATGCTGTTAAGGTGCTACACTCAATATGCCAGCAAGTTTGGAAAACTCAGCAGTGGCCAGATGATTGGAGAAAATCAGTCTACATCCCAATCCCAAAGAAGGGCAGCGCTAAAGAATGCTCCAACTACCGCACAATTGCACTCATTTCACACGCTAGCAAGGTTATGCTTAAAATTCTACAAGGCAGGCTCAAGCAGTATGTGGACCGAGAACTCACAGAAGTGCAAGCTGGATTTAGAAGGGGCAGAGGAACCAGAGACCAAATTGCAAACATGCGCTGGATTATGGAGAAAGCTAGAGAGTTCCAGAAAGACATCTACTTCTGCTTCATTGACTATGCAAAAGCCTTTGACTGTGTCGACCACAGCAAACTATGGCAAGTTCTTAAAGAAATGGGAGTGCCTGATCACCTCATCTGTCTCCTGAGAAATCTCTATGTGGGACAAGAAGCTACAGTTAGAACTGGATATGGAACAACTGATTGGTTCAAAATTGGGAAAGGAGTACGACAAGGCTGTATATTGTCTCCCTGCTTATTTAACTTATATGCAGAATTCATCATGCAAAAGGCTGGGCTGGATGAATCCCAAGCCGGAATTAAGATCGCCGGAAGAAATATCAACAACCTCAGATATGCAGATGACACAACCTTGATGGCAGAAAGTGAGGAGGAATTAAAGAACCTTTTAATGAGGGTGAAAGAGGAGAGCGCAAAATATGGTCTGAAGCTCAACATCAAAAAAACCAAGATCATGGCCACTGGGCCCATCACCTCCTGGCAAATAGAAGGGGAAGAAATGGAGGCAGTGAGAGATTTTACTCTTTTGGGCTCCATGATCATTGCAGATGGTGACAGCAGTCACGAAATTAAAAGACACCTGCTTCTTGGGAGAAAAGCAACGACCAACCTAGACAGCATCTTAAAAAGCAGAGACATCACCTTGCCAACAAAGGTCCGTATAGTTAAAGCTATGGTTTTCCCAGTAGTGATGTATGGAAGTGAGAGCTGGACCATAAAGAAGGCTGATTGCCGAAGAATTGATGCTTTTGAATTATGGTGCTGGAAGAGACTCTTGAGAATCCCATGGACTGCAAGAAGATCAAACGTACCCATTCTTAAGGAAATCAGCCCTGAGTGCTCACTGGAAGGACAAATCCTGAAGCTGAGGCTCCAATACTTTGGTCACCTCATGAGAAGAAAGGGCTCCCTGGAAAAGACCCTGATGTTGGGAAAGATGGAGGGCACAAGGAGAAGGGGACGACAGAGGACGAGATGGTTGGACAGTGTTCTCGGAGCTACCAGCATGAGTTTGACCAAACTGCGGGAGGCAGTGGAAGACAGGAGAGCCTGGCGTGCTCTGGTCCACGGGGTCACGAAGAGTCGGACACGACTAAATGACAACAACAACAACAACAACAACAACAACAAAAGATCCACGTGGCCATTGTTCCATTTGAGAACGTGTGTGCGCACCTCAAAGGCACCGGGTGTACGTCGGGGGGGGGGAGGCAAGGCGTTATGTAGGCGTGTCCCTCTTTTTCTTCGATTTCCTCCCTCCGCATTAACAGCCGCAGGCTGGGCTTTCACTTCGCCACGCGTACTACAACTCCCAGCATGCAATTGCGTAGCTACCGCGCAATTGCTGGCACTCTTGCGGGAAGGGGAAAGAAGGAGCCGTGATCCCGGGCGCGCATGACTTCGGAAGCAAGTTTCTCCTCCTGCCGGATCCAGCGGGACTTACTCCCGAGTAAACGAGCCATAGGGGATGCTGCAGCCTCAGGAGCGCCGGGTGGGAGTTTCCTTAGAAGGAGGGGAAAGAAAGAATCGGGGTTTTCTTTTTCTGAAAGGGAAATCTCTCTTAGAATCCTAGAGTTGGAAGGGACCCCGTGGGCAATCTAGTCCAACCCCGTGCAATGCAAAACACGCAGTCCCGCCCATCCAGTGTGAAACCACGCCGGGTCCTGCTTAGCTTTTGTGCTTGTTCCGGCAGTTTTATTGCTGCGTCTTAGCCCCCGTTACGAATCTGCCAGCTGCGTTTCTGGTTTTGTGAATGCGTAGCTCGCAGGTGGGGTCCTTTGCAGCCCCCGAAAAACAAATGTCTCCCTGCACCTTCAGAACTTACCATTTTATTGCAGCTTGCAATTTTTGCCAGTTTGGACAAAACGCCTTATCCTCAGCAGAGAGATTCCTGCATTGCAGGGGGTTCGACTGCATGGCCCTTGGAATCCCTTCCAAGCCCCAAATCCTATGATTCTATACATTAATACCAAAGGGGACATCTCGAAACGGGGAGCACAGAAGGCAGGCAAAGAACTGTGTGTGTATAGGGGCTACAAATATGTATTGCCAGAAGACTGCTCTTCTTGTCTTTCACAGTCCCTGATGCTTGAAGCAGAAAACCCAAATAGTGCCAAGTTCCTTCACCCTTCTTGTGGACCAAGGGATAGCTTGGTCACTAAAGCATGATACTCTTAACCTCAGATTTGTGGGTTCAAGCCCCAGTTTGGCAAAAGATTTCTGCATCGCAGGGGCTTGTGTGACCCAAGTGGTCCCTTCCAGTTCTATGATTCTGTTGTGGGATAGCTATAGCAACAAGCTAAGTAAGTGTCAAGTTTGTTGCCCTTTAAAACTAACCCACCCCCAATTCGTTCCTCATGCCCCTTAGTTATTATTATGTATTTTATTATTTTCAAAATTTATCTACCATCTGTTATCCAACGATCACAAGTCAGTGTGCTTTCTCTTTGCTATTTACTGAGATATTTTTCTACTGAGAAGGGTGAGCAGGTGTGCTTAGTTGCCCACGTCTGGTTGCACTAGTAATTTGGGTTGCCTGCTTTGAATTTTTTGGGCCTAGAAACTGATAAATCTTGATAAACGTCTGGACAGTTGTTGTTTTTTGTTCCACAAAGAGAAAGCCCCGGGGTGGGTGGGTGTGTCTATTAACATGGAGCAGTAGGAAGCCATTAGTTTAAACTCCATGGGCCCTGAGTAGTTTGTGCAGCTGTTTACAAAGCTGGAAGGAAGTTCTGTAGGAGTCAAATATGTCTGGCAGTATATCTTTGAATACCAGAGGCTGTGGGATGTCCAGTAAGGGGTTTTTTACCTGCCCATAGCAAGCAATAGACCATACGCCTATGGTTTTGCATGTTGAGCTGCTGGGTGGCAGCCATTCACGTTTGTTTAATTTTATTACAGTGACTTGCAGTCAAGCGTTCTGAGACACGAACTTGCGAGATTGCAACAGGAAAATGGGTGACTGTTCAGAGGTATGTCGCCACAAGTTTATCTTTGCTCTGTATGCAGTTTTGGTTTTAAAGCTCCTATTCTAATCCTAAACAAGCTTAATAAATTCACACACACACACACACACACAACCCCCCACTTTTCATGTGTGCCCATGTTAGTCTATACCTTTTACCAAAGAGGGGGGGAAAGTTTTGTAAAAACATTTTACTTGGTGTTTACAAGTCCAGCTCTACATTGTTAATTATATGGACAGTTTAAACGTTGTTGGAACACTTCCAAAGAAACCAGCATTTTATTTTTCACACACAGGAAAATTAAAGCAACCAAATGATTAATGTAACTTGGCTTTGGAGATGTTGCATTAGGTCATTGACAAGAACAGAGAAAACTGTATCTTCTTATGTCTCTTAGGATGCCTCCAGATGACTTGTTTATTGACAATTTATCCTGATTTGTTTTACAGGGAGATTAGCTGACATTGGCTATGTAATGAGCATTCATTTTGATTTGTTTAGATAGATGGCAGTGCCTCACAGCAAGTGTCATTCCACACTTTCCAGTGTGGTTCCCCACCACTTTCCTTACAGCAAAAAGTATGAAATTTTTAGGAAGCGGGGTTATTGAGCAATCAGCTATAATTGTGCAACCTAAATTTGCCAGTATATGACCGGATGCTACTTGAAAATTGTGAGAATCTGGAAATGCCCTTCGTCACAAGAACAATTTCCATTTCCTTTTGGAGTGTCCTGTGTCAAAGCGTAGGACCAACATGGCAGCTAGTCTGATACACTGTGTTTTATGCATGTGTGCTGAAAACATATGCACTGATTTCAGTGTTTTTATTTCTAGACCAGTGTGAAAATACCATTTGGAAGCAAATATCTAGACGCCCTTTTCTCCATCCCCGAAAAGAAGCTGCCGTATGCTGTGATTCTCACACACGGAGCATCTGGTGATATGAATTTCTCTCACCTTGTATCTTTGGCAAACTACCTGGCCTCTCATGGATTTCTGTGTCTGCGATTTACCTGCAAAAGCCTCAATATCATCTATAGAACTAAAGCATATAAAGCTGTTGTGGTATGAAAGACCAAGTTTGCTTTTTAGTTCAAGGGGAATGAAGCATTGTGCTAATTCTTGTACCCTAAAGTGTTATAATCCTTTACTTCTTTATCCGGGATTAAGCCCCATTTAGCTCATTTGGGTTTCTGAATAAATGTGTATCGGATTGCAGTCTAAACCAGATCGCCCATATGTAGCTTCCTCCAATCAACGTGTAGATTTCATAATATAAAATTTATATGTATGGGTCTTTTTCATGTGGTTTCTTTATTTTTCACTATGTAAGAAACTGAGTGTATTGAAAGATATTCCTGTTCTGTGTGCATCTTTTAGTAAGTTACTTTCTAGATGTTTGTATTGATTATCCAAAAAATATTAATCTCTAACCGTTTTTTAAAAGGAATATTTAAGATCATCAGGCAACTACACACTTTCTGGCATTTTTCTTGGAGGTAAGAAAATTTGGTGGCGTATATATGTAACACGGCTTCTTATTTCCCTCCTGCGAAACAGGGCGCTGACAAATATTTTTGAATGAAGCAGGCATTTCACATACCAGGTTTTTTTGTTGTTGTTGACTGCATATGTATATTTTAAAGATACAGATTTAAGTAGTACCTCGGGTTACAGACACTTCAGGTTACAGACTCCACTAACCCAGAAATAGTACCTCGGGTTAAGAACTTTACCTCAGGATGAGAACAGAAATTGTGCGGCGGCAGCAGGAGGCCCCATTAGCTAAAGTGGTACCTCAGGTTAAGAATGGTTTCAGGTTAATCATAGAATCATAGAATAGAATCATAGAATCATAGAGTTGGAAGAGACCACAAGGGCCATCGAGTCCAACCCCCTGCCAAGCAGGAAACACCATCAGAGCACTCCTGACATATGGTTGTCAAGCCTCTGCTTAAAGACCTCCAAAGAAGGAGACTCCACCACACTCCTTGGCAGCAAATTCCACTGTCGAACAGCTCTTACTGTCAGGAAGTTCTTCCTAATGTTTAGGTGGAATCTTCTTTCTTGTAGTTTGGATCCATTGCTCCGTGTCCGCTTCTCTGGAGCAGCAGAAAACAGCCTTTCTCCCTCCTCTATGTGACATCCTTTTATATATTTGTACATGGCTATCATATCACCCCGTAACCTCCTCTTCTCCAGGCTAAACATGCCCAGCTCCCTTAGCCGTTCCTCATAAGGCATCGTTTCCAGGCCTTTGACCATTTTGGTTGCCCTCCTCTGGACACGTTCGAGTTTGTCAGTGTCCTTCTTGAACTGTGGTGCCCAGAACTGGACACAGTACTCCAGGTGAGGTCTGACCAGAGCAGAATACAGTGGCACTATTACTTCCCTTGATCTAGATGCTATACTCCTATTGATGAGGCCCAGGTTAAGAACGGACCTCCAGAACGAATTAAGTTCTTAACCCAAGGTACTACTGTATTTCTGCTTAGTATTTCCGAACAACACAGACCTTTGTCCTCACCTAAAGAGTCAAAGGCCAACATAAACAGTTCATTTTGCCTCCAAATGAGGCTAGGACCCAAACCAATGGATTCAAGTTACAAGAAAGCAGATTCTGACTAAACATCAGGAAGAACTGTGTGAGGTGGTGGCCTCTCCTTCCTTGGAGGTTTTGAAGCAGAGGTTGGAAGGCCATCTGTCATGTATAATCTAGTTGAGATTCCTGCTTTGCAGAGGGTTGGACTAGATGATCCTCAGGGTCCCTTCCACCTCTACTTCTATGATCCAAACCTTTAATTATGGAACTCCATGCATCGATTCACAAACTACCTATTTGATATGGAATTCAGGGTTGCACTCTGATATTTTCACCTGCACAAGTATTTCAGCTTGCCAGACAGAATGGTCTGTCCTCTCCCCCCCCCCCCCCCCCGCTTAAAGGCATCTAGTTAGTCAGAGCTGGAATTGACCTGATCCAACAGAACTTTTCCTAAAACTGTTACGGACCTTGACAGCTTCTTGGCTGTGATTTAAGCCTATTTCCTCCAGCAGCACTGAGGTAGCTGCAAAAGTTCATGTTGCCTCCATGTAAATTAATCCCTAGATAATGTGCACCAACTGTAGCAGGTTCCCGAGTTTTGAGTGCTTTCAGCAGAGAAATACGGAGGATTAGAAGTCCTAGAAAATGGTTGTTATACAGAATGCATAGCTTAAATCACAAAAAATGTATCCCCCCCCTTGATTCTTAATGGGATGTAGGCCGTTCAATGGGCTCGCGCGCTGCCGCTTCTGTGATACGACAAGCGGACCAAGATAATGACAGCTTCATTCAAGGTCTGATATGCTTGTCTTACCCGCTGCATCGACCAAAGCTTCACTCTAAACTTCGGGATGAAGATTTATTGTCCATTAAGTCCCCTGTGCTATTCGTGTCTGGAGATACAGATGAGATGTGTGATAAAGTGAGTACCTAGACGCGCTGGAAAGTGGAGCAAATAACACTCTTGCTTAAAATGTGCAATACCAATGAGATAAGCCCATGTTTTCTAACAGGGTAATGAAAGGAGCTTTTGGAGGTTTGTCTTGCTGGGTTGCCACGTTCAAATTAATGGCGGGTGAGAAGCTTTGGTTTCATGAACAGAAACTTCACCTCCTCTCCCTTTCTCCACACTTATTTATTTCTTAGTCAGTACTAACAAATAAGTCAAACCCATAAAAAAACACATTTCCCCCTTTGGAATTGCCCAGTTTGTATCAAAAGCAAACCATACTTCATTTTAGAACTTTTGTTTACATAGTATATGATTTTACATCTTTTCTACTGCCGCTTCTGTTAGCAATGAGCTTTGTATATTTTCCCAGAGCAAGGCAGATTTTCTGGAAAAAAATTCATCTATCTTACCCACTAAAGTGTGTGCGCATGAAGTTAAGGGCAGCACTCGTTAATAATCTTGCTAGCACTATTAAACACCACCATTTTTTTCTTGCATCCCACATGATGCTCTGCTTAGAGAACCATGCAAAGTCAACACAGACAAAATATATTCCTGTGCCATGCTGACAGTTATTGACTGCCGCACCCAAGTAATGCTGGTTTCTGTGGGAAATGAACTCTTTAAGAGTTAGATACGTCTTTCTGATCTATTTTGTGCCTCCATTTGTTTCAATAGCAACTGCTGGATGGTGTTGCAGTCAAAATGCAAGCACCCAAGAAAATCCATTGGGTTGAAAAAGCAAACCACAGCATGGCAGCGAGAGGACGAAATGCAGACGACATCTCGATGGAAATAAACAGGCAGGTTTTGTCTTGGATCAAAGAAATCATTGAAGAGCGACAGAAGCAATCGGCCAATTCTAAATAGCCTCTGTACTCGGTATAGGATGGATTAATAACACTTGGATTAATAATACTTATAAGAGTATAAGTAATCAGCTCTGTGCTAAAGCACTGGCAAAAAAAACTGCATGTTTTTGTAACTTCATTATAGTGTAAAATATGTTCTATCTGGTTTTGTGTATATATAGTTAATGTCCAGAGATAATGGAAATAAATAAATCTGTTTTTTACTTTCTAAAAAAAGCATTGTATCTCACACATCTACTTTTATACATGGTATTTTTTCCAAAGCAAATATGTTACCAGACAATTCTTTACTGGATTACATGAAATGGGTAGCCTAGCCATACCATGCCAAGTGGAGCAGATTTCCTCCAGCGTACCAGATTATATCTGCATTGGGTAAACCTGAATTTACAGGGTGGAAACATTGAGATTGGTATTGTTTGGTGTCACATGATCTGGACTATGCAGACCAAAAGGGAATGCAAACAGTAAAGGTAAAGGGACCCCTGACCGTTAGGTCCAGTCACGGACAACTCTGGGGTTGTGGCGCTCATCTCGCTTTATTGGCCGAGGGAGCCGGCGTACAGCTTCCGGGTCATGTGGCCTGCATGACTAAGCCGCTTCTGGCGAACCAGAGCAGTGCACAGAAACGCCGTTTACCTTCCTGCCAGAGCGGTACCTATTTATCTACTTGCACTTTGATGTGCTTTCGAACTAGTAGGTTGGCAGGAGCAGGGACCGAGCAACGGGAGCTCACCCCGTCGCGGAGATTCGAACTGCCGACCTTCTGATTGGCAAGCCCTAGGCTCTGTGGTTTAGACCACAGCACCACCCGCAAACAGTAGTAAACAGTAAACTTTGCATCATAGAGTCTGCACCATCATATAGGCTCTTCAAGAAAATTCCAGAACACAAGGGAGGGTGTCTGGGTGGTTATAATGGGGGACAAGTGAGGGATTAGACCCAATGAGCCATATTTTGAGAAAGAAGTTTGTTCAGTTCTTTGTGACTACAACATGCCTGTGGAAACCTGGTAGACAAGGGCAAATAATAATAATAATAATAATAATAATAATTTATTATTTATACCCCGCCCATCTGGCTGGGCCTCCCCAGCCACTCTGGGCGGCTTCCATAAAAACCATAAATACAATAAAATATCACATGTTAAAAACTTCCCTGAACAGGGCTGCCTTAAGATGTCTCTTGAATGTCAGGTAGTTATTTATCACTTTGACATCTGCTGGAAGGGCGTTCCACAGGGTGGGCGCCACTACCGAGAAGGCCCTCTGCCTGGTTCCCTGTAGCTTTGCTTCTCGCAATGAGGGAACCGCCAGAAGGCCCTCGGCGCTGGACCTCAGCGTCCGGGCAGAATGATGGGGGTGGAGACGCTCCTTCAGGTATACTGGACCGAGGCCGTTTAGGGCTTTAAAGGTCAGCACCAACACTTTGAATTGTGCTCGGAAACGTACTGGGAGCCAATGCAAGTCTTTCAAGACCGGTGTTATATGGTCTCGGCGGCCGCTCCCAGTCACCAGTCTAGCTGCCGCATTCTGGATTAGTTGTAGTTTCCGAGGCTTTCCCCCAATGTGCTAACTTTCTGCATATCGGGAGGAAGCACCCAAACATGTGATTCTGCATCTTCAAAATGATTTTGTAGATAAGTTGGCATCCTGAGAGCCAATACGCTATCCCTGGAGGGGCAGCTTTGTACAGGGTAAACATGAATGATACACTATTAGTTTCAAAAAAAAGTCTGTGAAACAGCATGCTTTTGCCACAGGTCCCTTAAATGGCTTGGGATACAGTGGTGCCTCGCAAGACGAAATTAATTCATTCTGCGAGTTTTTTCGTCTTGCGAATTTTTCGTCTTGCGAAGCACGGTTTCGGAAAAGTTTTGGAAAAGCTTCAAAAATCACCAAAGTCTTCAAAAACCTCAAAAAAGGCTACCACACCGCGTGCTATGAGTTGCTCCTCGAAGTCAAGTCGCAACTGTATTAACGGTTTTAAGAAAAAGGAAACAAACTTGCAAGACGTTTTCGTCTTGCGAAGCAAGCCCATAGAGAAATTTGTCTTGCGAAGCAACTCAAAAAACCAAAAACCCTTTCGTCTTGCGAGTTTTTCGTCTTGCAAGGCATTCGTCTTGCGAGGTACCACTGTAATTTTTATTCAACCATCCTTCCTAGTCAGGGCTTCAGTGTAGTTTGGCAATGAGAAGCTCAACTCCTTGTCTGAAATCCGTATGATAGGGGTTCTCTTTGGACAGCTGTTACAAACAAAAGTTTTTAAAATGACTACTGAATTAAACAAGCTTATTATAAACCCTGCTAACGAAGCTTGAACACACCCTAGCCAGTTATTTTAACAATTACTTGAAAGGTTCCCAATTGTATTTTTTTCCCTGTTAGGTTCAGCTATGTAGATTTCTAGTACACACTTTCATCTCCTTCTCACGCATATTATTTTAGTGTGTTGCGTGTAATCTGCTTAAGCGAGTGGCAGTAATCCACAGGCTGCAGCAAAAGCCCTCTGTAGAAGGGGTATATAATATAGTCACAAAATCAAAGCTATTTTTTAAAACAAAAAAATGCTCTCAACTTTATGGAAATAGTATTTATTTTTAAAAATAATAAAAAATCATAAAAGCAAAGGTGTAGTAATACTGCATGCACAACAGAAGGCATTCGGACTCGTCTTTTTTTGTTCTCATCTGAAGACACTGAAATCCAAATACTGTAAACACCAGTTTTCTTGTTAAAGTTCCTCTTTGACCTGTAAGTAAGAAGAAAATATTTCACGGATGAAATAAGTCCTGAACAACTTTGCTTTACGTTATAGTATTTTGAGCAGACTCTTATGTTCCAGAAAAAGTTCCTTCTCTCTCTAGATTATTTTTGCAGAGATTTCCATAATAGTGAAAAATAAGCCCCTGGTTAATGGGTTATGATGGTCTGTACTTAATTGTAAGTTCCTGGGCTGTATCATACCCACTTGCCTAGATGGGTGCAGAGAGGATTTATTTGCACATTATAATTTCATTGGAAAAAGCAAGTGAGAGCAATGTTCTAGATTTCAGGGGTCTCTGAAAGAAACCCTAGGGTTTGTGTTGGTGCACAAGACTGGTGGTATTTCAGAATTACCACTGCCTGCCTGCTACCTGCTCAGCTTTATATTTGTAAATTTAAATAATAACAACAATCAGAGTCACAAGAAACCCATAAGCACTCTATGCTGCATCTTGACTTCTGTTTTCTGGTCATGTTAGAATGGGATGGAATGTTTGGAATACAACTCCCATTTTGAAACATTTCCCCCCCCCCCACGAGTTCCAAAATACTCATCTTCCTACTACAACATGGATTCAGAGGAAGTCACAGCAAACCCCTCTTTCTTCATTGATGACTTGCAATATTGTTTCATTTTTTAAAAATTTGCAACTCTTTCTGGCTCACGTCGGCAACGCAACTTAATTGACAGAACGGTAAGATGGCCTTTTGCAAGGAAGACATTTTCTCTGCGACAGAGGCCCTGTGTTTTGTGTGTGAGAGCGAGAACTGCATCGTGCATGTCTTATGGCATATGGAAAGAGCACAATGTCCTGGGTTCATTGGTCATTCAGCTTCCTTAAAATATCTTTTTTTTACTTTTTATCTTTTTTGAAAGCAAATTGCTAGTTCTTATGGTTACGAACATATGCTAGAAAGCGTGTGGGTAATTCCTGCTGAAATCTCAAGAACCAAGAGAGGTGGCCGATTTAAGATTTCTACGTTTGGGGCAAGGCTTTTGCGATCCAAATTTCTCCTTACCACGACTGCCAAAACTTGAGTATGTTCTGTGAAACAGGAAAAAGCAAACTGGAGAACTGCACATCGTAAGATAAATCTGCTGCATGATTTTTGCATCCAGAAAAATCCAAACTTCCTTGGCTAAACACATAATTTCCTTTGGAACAAAAAACTAGATGAAATACTCACAGCTGGTTTTTGTGAACTTGCAACTCCTGCTCTCCTGCCTCATGCTACCTCCATGACTTAGCAGGATTTAACCCACTCCAAAACATCCTCAGTGGTTTTCTGTTAAACCACTGGCATTGGCTGTGAAAATCTCTGCCTCCCTCAATATATGGAAAAGCAGCAAGGGATTCTGTAGGCACCCATAACAAAATCTGTTCCCCCCAACTTAGAATCTGAACATGTGAGGCATAAGATGTTCCCAGTTAAATAAGTGGTAGGTCAGGCCCCTGAACAAACAGTTCCTAAAATGTTAACTTGTACATACTGTACCTTTTTCCGGTGGCAACTACAGGGGAAAAGGTCGTCGTCTGGCTGGTCCACTTTCTCCATGCCATCTCTCACTTTTGGTTCAGTCGCTTGTAGTTTGGCATATTCCTAATTGAAAAATTAAAAAAAAGGGGGGGGAGACGTCTTATACTTGCGCACTCAGTGCTGGAAAAGCTGTAACCAATCAATCGCCCATTGCTCCAGCAAACCTCGCGGGGAAGAACCTGAGATTCGGTATCACCGAAACTGTAAGCTGACACGGGCTGCACCTGGTGACTTGCTGAAATATCAGTACCTCCGTGTTAATGCACAGACATTTTCAGCTGTGTTTCGGGAGGGGCTTTCTAAAGCTGGGCTCTTTGATCTTTGCTGATTGCTGCTTTGAGGAACAGATCCCACCACATTAGAATGGGATTTGTGGAAGTCGGGATGCTTCTTTAACAAAATGCCAGCTTAATTTTCAGGGCATACCTTTCACACGGTGCTTACTTGCAGATCTTGGTTATTAAACATCACGGGTAATGTTTTAAAGGATGCCCATCAATTTGAATGGACGGCATGAAGGGATGTTAAATCAGAGAACTATCATGTTAGAAGGGACTACGGGGGTCTTCTTTTGGGCAGGAATCTTGCCCGGCGTGGAGCTTGAATCCACGACTAATGCACACATAACATGTTTGATATACCACAACAGTACTAGTGTGATTATATGTAACAAAGGCAGAATTAGGGATTGTGGAGGCGCTTCTATACAGTCATACCTTGGGTTACAGACGCTTCAGGTTGCGCGTTTTCAGGTTGCGCACCATGCCGAACCCAGAAGTACCGGAAGAGGTTACTTCCGGGTTTCGGCGCTCGCGCATGCACAAAAACACTAAATAGCACTTTCCGCATGTGCAGAAGTGCCAAATCGCAACCCAGGCGTGCGCAGAGGCGGCGCTGTGGGTTGTGAACATGCTTCCCGCACGGATCAC